CCGCTGCTCTAGAGCCTCAGCTTGTCTCTCCATGCAGCAGGGCGGTCAGCTTGCGCTGCTACCCTGCCAACCGCTACCTGGGAGCGAGTGGGGGATACAGGCAGAGCTCCCCACGCCACAGCCCGCTTCATCGGTCACTCATTCATTCATTCATTCATTCATTCAACACAACTCCTTAGAACATTTCCCATGTTCAAGGTCTTGTGGATACATAAGCGACAAATAAGTTCTATTAAGAAAAGAAACGCTGGAAAGTGCTGGGTATAGGGGTTTCAATTTTATATAGAATGGTCAAGGGGAAACACTAATTAGGTGACATTTGGGCAAAGGCCTGAAGAAGGTGAGGATGAGAGCCAATTGGATAGCTTGGGGGAAAGTGTTCAGGCAAAGTTAAGAACAACTGCAAAATTCCCCAGAGTGCATGCTTAGATGTTTGAGAAGCAGGAGGCAATGTGGCCAGAGTGGACTGAATGAGGGGAGCAGACAGAAAGGGAAGGAAGGCGACAAGATCATATGGACCTTATAAGTCAGCATGAGAACTTTGTTTTTTATTCCAATAGACATAGGAAGCCATCTGACATGTTTTACAAAGGATCAGACTGACAATGCAGCAGGCATGGGAGTAAGAGCAACAGATAGGAGGTGACTGCAACCATGCAGGCCAGGGATGAAAGTGGCTTTAGTCAGGGTCGTAGGAGCTGGACATGGTGGTCTAGATACACTGAATGAAGAATTGAGAGAAAGAAAAAGAACAGTCAGGAATGACATCCAGTTTTTTTTTACCCAAGTTCTAGAAAAATGGAATTGCCACTGCGTTTTGGAGAGATGTAAGTTTTGGGGGGAAGATGATGAAACCTATCAGTCATCTAAGTGGAGGTGTTGAGTGGGTATTCATGTCTGAAGTACAAGAAGAGAGGGTTCAAGCTGGAGGAAAAACTTGGGAGTCATCAGTGAACAGACAGCATTTGAAGTCATGAGCCTGATGAGAGAGTCTGGGTGAAAGAGAGTAAATAGAGTCAGAGAGGAAAAGAGGTCCAAGAACTGGGCACTCAAATAGAGATTCTCCATTGCCTGGCTCCCCCAGAAAGGCCAGACACGGAGTGTGCCCTGTCCTGCTGCAAACTAGGTCTTCCTAGGGCCCACCTCCCAGCTCCATCAATCTCTGCCCTGTCTGGCTTCTGCAAATGGCTCTTCTCTCCCTGCCCAGAATTATTTGGGGTCCTAAAGATGAGAAGGAAAACAGGGAAGGGCTGCAGTGGAGAATCAACCCATGGTTGCCTGATTGCTGAGCCCTGTTCTTAATCACAAACCTGTCCCGCTGCCACTTTCTAGCTCTCCCCATTTGTTTTAGTATCAGTTAATATGTTTTAATATCTGTGATATTAAATATCTGTGATATTATGATTGACAGGGTATATTTTACAAGTGGAAATGGTCAAGAATGGCATCTCAGACTGAAAGGACAGCAGCATGGCTAAAGGCAGAGGACAACCCAATCACTGCAATGATGCTCGTGCACCTGGAACTGGATCTGAGGATCTGCGTAGGATGTTACAGAGAACCCACCAGGAAAGGTGCCACGTGTGGAAGCATGGTCAGTACTAGAGGGTGAAGGTGCATCTCTGATCATATCTTGGGGAGCAGAGTAGGATCTGTAGTTTGGGAATATATTAAATTAAGGTAACTTAATATCCTGACAGGAGTTAAACCCTACTGTTTTCTACACCATCACCAAAATCACTACCATGTGTTGTGCCAAGTCCTGTCTGCACACCGAAGAGCAGAGTTCAGAATCCTGGGGATTCTGGTGACAGTGAAGCTTGGAGGGGTCAAATGTGCCCAGACTAGGGGCTGACTAACCACAACCAAAAGAAAACCTGGCTCAGAAAACTGAAGAGACTCCTTCAGCCCCAGGCACCTCCACGTGCCCTCAGCAAGATGGCCTGGCTCCGGGGGCTGGAGGGTGGACTTCACTGAAGAGGCAAGTTAGCAAAGTCCAGGGATAGTCCTCACGCCAGTAAGGGTTTAATTTCAGAGACTAGAGGGCTCTTGTAAAAGCAGTTGGCTGATGCTGAGTATTTGCAAAACTAGCACTTACTGAGCCTGTAGCGTGCAGAGTTGCAAACAACGACTGTTTCACAGATGGGTAAATTGAAGCATTGGTATTTAGATTAAACCAGGCCTTAATTAGGGACCGCTGGGCAGGGGTCCGATGGTACCTGGAGATCAGGGGATCACGTGGATAGGGGCGGGGGAAGTGGGGCAGGAGGAATTATCAAGGCGGGGTGGCGTTCTGGCGCCTGAATTGAAGGAGCCCATGGGAAGTGGGGAGCTGTTCCGGAGAGGCGCACCCACCGGGATGCTGAGTCACGGTGACCGGGCGAGGACTAAGGACCGCGCTTTTCTGGAACTCCGCAGAGCTCCCGGCGCCTGTCCCTCTTCTCCGGAGGGTCGGTGCGCACGTGTCTTCGCGCCGAGAAGACCCGGACAGAGCAGGCAATCGGGGTGGGAGGGATGCACGCCTGTGCCTGTGGGTGCGCACGTCCGGTGTGCTCGTGTGCGCATGCCCCGGGCCGGGTCCCTAGCAAGGGTGCTGAGAGCCGGACTAGCAAACATCGCTACCCGCACGTTTGGGATAGACGGGAGCGCGCATGTGACATTATGAGTGGACTGCGCGTGCGCACACCAGGAGTAGTGATGGGAACGCCGCGTCCTCAAGGCGGTCCGGAGCCCTTCTATGTGGCGACGTTTGCTCGCGCGGCCAGGTGTTTTCTCTTCAAAATGCTCTATTTTCCCTGTGAATCCCTTGCTAGGTGGTTTAAAAAAAATTTCCCCACTGCATATAAGCATGGGCTTCCACAAGAATGGAAATCCATAGGTAACTAAAGGGCTCCATAGTCCTACCCGTGGCTCCTAATGTCAGTCCCTCCTTGCAGTTCTGTACAAACTGGTCATGTATTATTTTGAAAGCCAATATTTTGGTTTTTCCTTGTTTTGTTTTTGCTGTTATAATTTGCCTAGTAATAATTTACACAGTAACATGTCTTTTCGTCTGGCCTGTCTCTAGTTGCTTCTCCCTGGTCTGCACCCTGGCTATGTGGCCAGGAACAAGACTCCTTCCTTGCTCTTATGAGGTGTTCGTTCTGGTGGGAGGAACAAAGGCAAACGCAGGATTCAGGGGAATGCTAAGTGCTGTAGAGAGTTAGGGCTCTGGACCAAGAGAACTGATGGGGAGGCCGAAGGTGGGCACTGGGAGAGGCCACGTCAGATAGGGAAACCCTGAGGCCAGAGAGAGAGAGGCAGGAGCCAGGTGAGGACCAGGCTGATTGCAGTGGAGAGGTACTAACATACTGGAATTCAAGTGTACCTGTAGATAGACTTAACAATTTGCTGATTAATTGAATGAGAAAGAGGAATCAAGAATGCCTTCTAGGTTTCTGCCAGAGCAGCTGGGTGAATAGTTGGTACTGTAACAGTTAGTGATGGGAAAAATGGAATCTCATTTTAAGGGCAGAGACTGATTCCTCTTTGCAGTCCTGGCTACTAGCAAGGGCCTTGCCCCTAGGTGACAACAGTACATGTTGAAATGAACAGGACCCTAATGAACTGCTCGTTCCTCCTCACCAAAGCCCATATCCCAAACTCAGTACCAATACGAGCCATACCCAGTCCTTTCAGAGAAACACTGAGGCCTGGGCCCAGCCAGCCTATTCTCCTGGAATCATAAGGCCAGCTGTGTTACTTCCAGAAGCCTGCCCGTGGAGGTTTCTCAGACTCCTGGGCACATTGGCTGGGAAGCAGCCAGTCTTGCTGTCCATTTACATGGCTTTTGAAGTTTGAGGAGATGGCTATTAGCTTCAAGGGTTTATTTCCTCTGTCTCCAAATCAGGAAGTGGGTCACAAAGTGGCCACACAATGCACAGATGGTCATTCCTTAGAGCACCACGGTTGGCACACTGTGTTTCAGATGCACGCCTAGAACTGGACACCCTATGTGGGAAAACAGGGTCACCAGCTTGGGTGTAACATTTGTTAGGCTTCTACATCACCCATCTGGAATGTATAGCCAGGGTTATAGGATTCCTATCTCCACCACTGCTATAAATCAGAAGTCAGTGAACAGTATTGGATACTTGTGTTAAAAAGGAACATGCTTGAATAAATGTTTTTCCTAGCATTTTAATATAACCTCCCATTGTATTCCTTAGCATAACTCATGCAACATGACGGCTATTATTAAGCAACCTTGTCTGGAGGCACACTTAGAAGGCTCTGAACCTTGGTCCCGATGCTCAGCTTCTGGGCATCACAGCAGAAAGCCTGAGTGGTACTTAGATTGCTAGATTATATATTAATGCTCACATACTCTTGTTTTCCTAAATTCATGACAACAAAAGTTTCAATCAAGTGCTGTCTTGTTGTAAATGCAAATGAGCTGAAATTCCCCTGTAACCCACCCTCCCTCTGTGGTTCCCATTGTACAATCTTTCATTCTGCTTAACACAGATGGTGTTATCTATGAGACTAGTCCTTTCTGCCCCTGCAAGGTAGGGTCTCTTTACCACATACTGGTTCTCTGGTGGAGTAGAGGGAGACCTCATCTCTGGGTCTGCTTTTTGGAAAGGGTACCTGGGCAGCTCAGAGCACCCATGCTTGGTGGAATGTGGGTGCTGACAGACCACAACCCAAAGAGCAAGGCTGCATCTTTCCAGGTGGTCTCTTTCACCACAACATTGGCTCCACCCACACAGAGGCCTCCCCCAGCTCTGGCCTTAGGGGAAGCCAGTGGGAGAGGTGTGGTAAGCTTGTCCTGATTCCTGCCCACCCACCCCAGCTCATCCTAATACCCCCAAGCGGTCTTTCCCCTTGCGGGGGTCTCAGATTCAGAGGACAGGCTAACCTAAAAACCAATTCTGGTGCAGCTTTTCAAAGTAATGAACCAGCCAGAGCTTCTGACACGGTGTCTGCTTCAGTTCATTTTAAAGAGATACAAAATATTATTAAATGTATATTTTTAATAAAGCCAATAGTTATTTTACTTATAGGAGCTTTAAAAGATACAAAATGTAGAGTTCCAGTTTGGAAGCATTGTAACTATTCACACAACGTCCTGCTGATGCCCGAGCAAGGCAGCCATGCCCGGCCATGCAAAGGACAAACACGCACACACACACATGCATGCGCTTTGGTGAGACCCCCACCTCTGCCGAGCGCAGCACCTGGAATTACCAGTGTTCAGAGCAAGGCGGTGCGGAAAACACAGCACCTGCGAGGAGACCACACAGACAGCTTTGCAGTCTCACAGCCCATGGAGATGCAACTACAAAATGTCTTCCTTAATCGAGAAAAACAGACTAGAAAGTGACAGTTAGCAGTGTTGATGTCACCTATGCTGGGGCATCAGCATCAACAACTGACCTCTGTCCAAGGTGAGGTCTTTGGGGAGGCACTATTAAAACAAGAGTACTTCCATATAATAGAAATTGAAATACAGGGTCCTGGGGACACGTTACTGAAAGAAACAGAAAACTATCTTACAAGTAGAACAGCCACAAACAACTTCAACAAACATTAGTGCACACACTGTGACAGCTAACACAAGACAAGAGCCACGCAGGGTTGGTGCAAAGCATGTGCCTGGAAAAGTCTATGTACAAAATAGGTCTCTGTAAACATGGAGAGGTGAATGTTCAGAACCTGCAGTGAAAAGACCGTTAAGTGCAGGCGGCAACAGCGTCCCCCACACAGCACAGAAGGCCACGCCGGAGGCCTGGAAGCAGCCTGGCAACACAGTGCTAAACATTCAGATGGCTGGGCTCAGACACCTTAAGGGTCCTCTATAATTAGTGTGCATATATATATACATACATAATACATACATATATATATATATATACCTTTTTCTTTTTGGTATTTTTAAATATAAATCTACTTATATCTGTAGAAAAATGGTAACATAAATGTGTTATTACAATCTTTGCTGGAAAAGTTTATATGGAGTTAGAAAGAATAAACCATTTATTAGTAGTTAACATATATATTAAAATGGTTTAATGATTTAAGAAAATATAAAAAAAATATTAATACTGTCAGACTTTCATACCAGAAAATACGGATTTTTCTCAATTAGACTTTTCAAAGATGAAGTATGAAAAATTTAAATAAGTTTATATAAAGACCTTCTGTAACCTCAATTAATATACAGTGGGATATGTCTATTCTATATAGATATTATGTATTATTATTTCTCAATTTAAGCACCATTCAATTTTTCTGGATCCATTCTGGCTGGAAATATCCCTAAATCCACAGGATGTTGTCTATTTAATGGCACATGTTAACTGAAAATGAGGTGGTTTTGTTTTTTTTTTTTAAGAAAAACTTTAAATTAACTCCTATCTATGTCTTAATTGGTTTGTCTTGAGCCAGCTCACAAGTGTTACTATAATTTCAAGTTCAGGTGTCTCTGTACAGCCCCTTGACCACACCCCCACATTGTGAGACTGTGTCAAAGCCTCTGGCCACGCGTGGAAGGACCTGAGGGCAGCCAGCACAGCTGCATCCTGCATACGGACAGCAGTCAGCTGGCTCATCTTCAGGCACCATCAGGAATATGCTTCCAGCGATCCTGCTTTTATAAATCCAGTAAAGGTTGCACCTCTTAGGTGCTGCTGGGGCAGTAAGGGGCCACCCACCCACGGAGAACCCAGGTGGTTGCTTCTGATCACAAATACTCTGTTCTATACTTCGCCCATTTTTTGTATAACTTAAATAAAGATAGTGTTGAACAAACCTCCAGCCACTATATTTGTTACCTTAAAATATCCAATCCATTTTTAGGCAGGAGGTATTGTAACTAAAAACCTCTATGAAAAACAACTATAAATTACAGTTGGTGTGGTCATCACTTGGTATTAAGGAGGGGCAGGGAAGGGCTTCAGGGGAATGGTCAGTTTTGCTCTTGGCCTTCAGGCCTGCAACACACACAGTGGGACTACAAACTTGAGAGCTGTGTTTCTCCAAGTGTGGCCTGTGGCCCACCCGCAGCAGAATCACCAGAGGTGCTTAAGTTTGAAGCTCCCTCAGCATCTCCCTGCGGAGGATCAGAAACCTCTGTCTTCAGCTGGCCCTCCAGGGCTCTGATGCCTCCAAGGCTTGAGAAGCCGGGCCTTAAAGGCTTGGAGCTGCCAACCACCCCCACCCCCCAAGGGCCCCTGCCTGGGACAGGGGTGCACTGGTCCTCTGGCGGGCTGGTGCCAGCTAGTCAGCCCTGGGGTGGGGACACAGGCTCCACCAGCTCTGGGCAGGCAGGCAGGCAGGCAGGCTGGCCCTGGGTTAGTACTGGGGCAAGTAGGCTGGTCTGCGTTCAGCCTTCCCGGGGAAGGCCTTGAAGCCCTTGGGCACTGCCTTGTGTGCAGGTTGGGGTGGAGGCTGCGGCGGGGTCTGCATATAGGTGAAGGAGGCAGCGCTGCAATCACTGGTCGCTGCCCACACTGGGGACTGCAGCATTTGCATGGTGTCGTTCCACTGGCTGCCGGGACTGGAGACCGCGTAGAGTGGTGTGCTTGGACTAGGCAGCGTGCTGGGAAGCGGGGAAGGGTGTTGCCAGGGTGCTTTGGGGGGCCACGTTTTGGTTTTGTTATCCTGAGAAACAGAAGAGGGTTCTTAGTGGTATTTCTGGCAATTCATCATCTTCCCCACCTCCCCAGAACACTGGTCTTTATTCTCATCTAGGAGATAGGGTAAGAGACCCCCTCATCCCCACAGCCCTGGAGCAGCACTGCCCAAAAGAACCTGCAATGAGAGGTATGTTCTATGTCAGTCCTGCTCAATACAGTAGCTGCTTGCCATATGGCTAGGACAACCGAGGAACTCAATATTTATTTACATACAATTTATTTCAAGGTATACAGCCACATATGGCTAGAGGCTTTCATGCTGGACAGCACAGCCCCCGAGTTTTCTACATGTGGGTCTGAGTCAGCTGAGATGGTTAATCATTTAGACAAGATCATGGGGGGTGGGGGGGAAAATTCTTCACCACAAAGAACCCCTCACTGCTTTGAGGCCCTGTTAAAACTTAGGGTTTAGAACCTTGCTCACAGTCTGTACCCCACAGAGCCAGCCCTCCAGGCCAGAGTAGGGCCACAATACCTGGTTCACGTCCTCCACTGTGGTGAGAAGAGGCGGGGAGGGCAGTGTGCTGGTCTCCTGCTCTCCACTGCTGTGTTTCCTGAGAGAACCAAGAGCTCAGTGAAGTGATCACCTGCCTTCCTGCTCAGCTTACCTCTAGGAGACACCCTAGCTGCTTGGCTCTGGCATCTCCTGGCACTGGTTCTAGGTGGGGAGGCCTTGGGACCACTGCGTAAAGGGGGATGAGGCAGGTCACCCCTGAACGTTGCACTCCGCCAGCCATTGCAGGGCTGGGGTGGGGTGGGGTAGGAGGCAAAAGTCAGGCACTGTTCCCATGGCTCTCAGAGTCCACCAGCTCTGGCTTTCTAATCATTCATTCAACAGCTATGGACTGATCGTTTAACTGTGCACTAGAGTTTGTGAACTTAAAAACAAAAGACTGTTAGTTTTACTACTAACATGAAAAATTTGTCATAATGTTCAATGAAAATGGCAGGATGCAGCAGACTCAGAGCCAGGTCCGTCAGTCGGTCGGCTCTCCTGCAGGCACGGAGCAGACTCTGCAGAGGTGAGGCGACTGGTGTCCTCTTACATATCTAACTGGCCTCTCCAATTTCCCAGGTCTAGAACATAAGTCTAAACTCTACCCTGCTCCACTGTGGTCCTCCATCTCAGTTCCCGGCACCTCCTTCACACAGACACACAGGCCAAAAATGCACCTTGACTCTTCTCTCCTGCTGTGGCCAATTCCTCACCATTGCTCCCTTACTGTATTCAGCTTTCTGCTTGGAGGTCTGACTCCCTTCTGAAAACACCCAATCTACCTGACCCTGTGTTCTCTCTCATACCCTGCTCTGTTTTTCTTCATAGCACTTAACCCAACATGACATTTGGGTTTTTTTAATCTGCCTTCCCTCAGTAGAACGTAAGATCCACAAGGAAGGGGAGTTGGTTTTGTCTGCAGCTCTATCACCACTGCCTGGTACATGGCAGGTGCCACTGAATGAATGGATGAAAAAAATAACTTCTCTGATGATCATCAAAAAATGTCAACAAAGATCCTGGCGCTGTTGCAGTTGTAGCTGCTTTCATCCCACTGGTTCCTGGAATTGCCATTGGAATGAAGAAGGAGATATCTAAGCTGGTCTGTGCATACAGTAAAATAACAAATTTGACTGGATCTATACTGTTGGAACTCAACCAAGAATTAGGAGAAGTGCAAGTTGCAGTGCTCCAAAATTTTGCGACTACAGACTATCTACTGTTAAAAGAACATATGGGATGTGAACAGTTCCCAGGAATGTGTTGTTTTAAATTGTCTGATTTTTCTCATACTATTCAAATTCAGTTACACAATATCCATCATATCATAGATAAGTTTTCACAAATGCTTAGGGTGCCTAACTGGTTTTCTTGGTTTCACGGGAGATGGCTGGTAACTGTAGGTCTGCTTTGGTTATGTAACTGTATTCCTATTATGTTAATGTGTGTGCGCAATTTAATTAGTAGTTTAAAACCTATACATGCTTAAGTTACTCTACAAGAAGATATGTCAAAGAAATAACCAATCTTCCCATGTTTTCTTCCGTCTGCTACTTCTATAGCTTTTCCTCTTCCTTCCTAATTACAACC